AATGATCAGGTGAGAAACACCGAATGCAATGTGTGTTTGTTTTAACTAGATCAAGTTAAACATCTAACTTGATCTAGGTAACAGGGCACCTTTAAGGTCCTGGGTAAGTCTTTACAAGATAGACAACACTTTCAAGTGTCTAAATGAGAATGTTAAGGCTTCTGCATTGAACTCCTGCCAGCTGCGGTGTATGAAATGACTGTCAGATGATTCTCCTTATTCCCATATGGTCCTCCAATAAAACGTAATAGTCCTGCTGTCCCACAGGAATCCCGCAGATCCCACCCCCACTTTTTCCTGCTTTATATAGTAGTGTAAAAGCAGAACAATGTTCAGTGGTGCTTAGTGTATACTCACAGGAAGCATTAAATGACAGCAATTATTAGTTTGGTTATAAAGACACCACACCTTGTTAGAAAGCCACCATGGAACGATATCAATAAAGGGCCTTCATCACCTTGTTCCTTGATTTACTTCCTTTGGGGATGGAGGGTCTTGCATAAATAAATCTTAATAAGTCCAATGTAAACACTCAAATCAAGTACTAAATATAGTTTAGGTAGTTGTGAGTTTTCTCCACATTACTTCTACAATAAGGAAATGTCTTACTTGGACAAATGAATGGTTCAAATCCATAACACCTCCATATAGGGAGGATTCAGTTCGCTCTGCTAGTGTGCAACTACCCAAACAATGAAATGGAGGATGAAGTAACAATTGAAGCAGCAGACCAGTATTTCTGGCTGCATTAGTCTGTCTTTTCAGAAGTCGTGGCTCAATGAATAGAGAGGGAACATTGTAAAACAGGAAATCAGACAATCAAGAGATCATGTCTAGGGAAGTGGACAAAGAGTGCAAACCTCCAGCAAACAGTTAAGCATGTTAATGCACAAACCCATTTTGGACCCACTTACTCCAATAATTTAAATGTTTCTGCGGCAAAACACATTGTGCTTTGTCCCTTTAATAAACCTGCTTTATCGCTGTATTATGTACAAATTCCAGGTATACAATGTCCCGACAGTGAAATGGTGTCACACTGATAATGAGAGTCATATTCAAATAAGTTCCTCAAACTATCAGCCAGTACCAAACGCTTGTGTAACATGGCAACATGTCAGGTCAAAGCCACTCAACACATCGGCCATTTCACACCGTCTGAAAGATGTCACAAGTCACTTCCCTACATTTGACAGCTCTCTTCTGGTATGTGCCTCGTGCCCGTCTATGGAGATAGGATGGTAGTCCATCTTGGGCCGTAACTTTCGCTACTACTACTTGCTTTGTCAACTTGTTGGCCAAAAGTTGACTTAAACAGATCACCATAAGCACTGGTAAAATGGTGTTAAGCTTGTTCAATGGTAATTAAATTAGAACGTAGAGGGCTCTATTGTCGCCACTGACATTGAATCATGCGCCAGGTCGGAACTAGTTGTTTACTAATGTACAGTGATAAGCGCTGATAAAATGATGTTAATCACACTGAGTCCAAATTGCTACACCTGTGTTTTTAATGTTCATTTTCTATAAACTGAATTCATAACAACAGCCAGTTAGTAATCATGGCACTGTTGTTTTGAACACACCTGATGAAACTCACCCGCCCTTACTGTTGGATCAGGGTGTGAGCATCAGCTGGTTCAGGTGTGCTGGAGCAGAGAGAACTGGAATATGGGCAGGTAGGGGTGGCTGAAGGTCTGGAGGTGGGATTCAAAGTGACCACCACCAACCCAAAGGCTGCACAGGACCTAAGCTCTCTGAAGGTCTAGAGAAAACCCTCCAATAACTTACAGCTTAGTTTGCCGGTCATGTGTAAAAAAGGGCACCATTAGGCTAACCCGACATCAAATATTAAAACAAATAGCCTTTCCAGTCCAGTTAAGCAGTGGCACATTGACTAACCAGACCAAAATATCAGCAACAGCGACAGTCATGTCAACACTGAGCCCGTCTTCATGTCCGGTGCCATTTTGTCCTGTATCTTGAGACCCGACACCAAAGGCTTTCTATACATGGCCCTTAAAACAGACTGTGTTTGTCCGGGAGTATCCATCCGTGACCTTTTGCCTACAAACCCAGTTAAGGACACACCGTGACCCCAAACTTTTTTTTCATCCACCCCTAAATCCTCACTGGGTGCTGTAGGATGAGATAGGGTGCATTCAGACCGACAATAGCACTACAGCAAAACACCACAAGCCTGTATTGGTACAGGCATGTTGCTAAAGGGTACACAAACAGGGCAGACCAGGAAGTTTTGAGGGTTATTATCACCATGATACTGCACTTTGGTTTTATACTCTTTGAAGCCCGAGTGTGCAACAGTGAAAAGTTATCACAGCAGCAGTTTATCTCCGTCTGATCTTCTTCTAGCTCGCGGAACAATGCTGCACACCACCACTACTACCTGATATGTATGCTTGCAAGGATCTGATTCGCCATCACACTGTGTGATGGTGGATAATGTTGAATAACGGCAAGTTAGACTTTTTTTTGATGGGTTGTTTTTTTTAACCAAAGCCTTCTGCAGAGGCCATCTTGTGATCTTGTTGAATTCAATGAAGACGTTTGCCAATATTAAAGGTTAATACTCACGTTTGTACAAGTAGGTGTTATACCAATATGTTCAAAACAAACCTTCAACTATGACATCACCTGAATATGGAAAGGCCCTGTACGTGTATGTGTGAGGCTGCTCTAGTCAAAGACTTATATAACAAACTGTATTGTTTATGACTTCTGTTCCAGGTAAGGGTGTAGCCAATTAAGAAAATGCATGTGTCACTGTGTGTGTGTGTGTCGTTCTTTGCCTACACTTACCTACCTACATACCACTCTAGCTGTCGACTGGCTTTCCTGTACACTAATGGAAGCAGTGATCCATTGTGTGAGACAAGCCAGCACACACACCGACACACGCAGTGAGATCATGGTATCAACAGACAACTTCCGTCAGCATTTTATCCGCACAAGAAGTGAAGACAGACTAAATCTTTTAACCTTTGAGTCTCCAGCACCCACAGGTTTGCCTGTTGGCTGGTGAGAGCAGCTCTGCACTCTGGTTGGCTGTGCAGCGGCAGTTTACACACCTGGGTTGGGCTTTCAATGTTTCAGGTAGGAAACTGTTTGACAGAGGGTGCAGCTCTTGGGAAAGACTGAAAAGAAAGCGTGATTTAAGAACGCTCCCCTTGCTTACCGTGTTATATTCCTATAGCCTTGCTTTGTGTTATTTAACTACTTTTTAACCAAATGCTTTTTTATATGTGTACAATGGGACTGCATGACATGGTAAAAACATCATATTGCAATGTGATTTACTATTGGTGTTTTAAATTATTATATAAAAATGATGATGGTGTGAAATTTTTTGTACCACACGAACACGTTCTCTTATCTAGAGAACGAGATTTGTAGGCCAACACTACAGTAATTCATTATGCTATTTTGTCACACATTTGTTCCTTTATCAAAAACATTGCAGCCTCTGCTATTTGCATATTGCTCCTGGCCATATTGCGATTTGGATCATATTTTGGTTCATTGTGCTGTCCTGTGTACATTTCCTCTATTTATGTGGCTGTACTCATTAAAGCTACAGGCCAAGAGCTGAAACATTGTCATATCAAATCCTAACCACAGCTACATTTCTATACTCACAGATACTCAAGCAACACAAATATAGAAATGGGTTAAGCTTCGCACATGCTGACATCAACCAACAGCTACTCTGTCAACATGTGGACACGCGAAATTTCCACCCATCGCTCATAAAGAGATTTTTCATCACAGGATGCTTGTCAACAGCTGTCCAAGTAATGCAAGCCATGGTCTGTATTGGAAACTATAATGGTTTTCATGTGAGCACTTGTGGCTTTTTCATAATTACAATGAATCTACAGATAAAACTGTTTACAATATTGAGACAGATACTGTAGTCTCAGAAGCAAACCTTCTAAAAATGACTCGCAGAGCACAGCCAAGGGCTTTTTTTGTCTTTTAAGGACACTACCAAAAAGTGTTTTTCTGCTCAAGTCAATAGAAACATGAAAAACACAATCTTTTCAGATCTCCAGCTCTGCAAGTCCTTTGCAGTTTTGACACATGTATTCTTGGGGATGGTATTTCTAGTGTGTTTAGGAGCTGTCTGGCCTCTGGGTAAGGGTCAGTCGTTTTAGGTCAACAGAGGATGTGTATTGTTTGTGAGTGCCTGTACTTAGACTGAACCCAGAAATAATATTTTCAGCTTAACATCTTGGGAGCCGATTTTAAAAAAACACTTGTGAGTTTAAATCTAAATCTCTTCCAGGAGGGCTCTGGCTGTGTATAATTTATTTAGTAATCAATGAGCGATAGATCTTTATTCTCAGGTCGCACCAAAGAGATTTAAACGACTGTTTTAGGTCATGCTTGTACTACAGAAGTTGCAAATTAAAACGATAACTTAAAAATGAATTCACATAACGTATCAGGTGCCCAACAAAAGTCAACCTCCTTCTTCTCACTCTCAAAAAGAACATTTGTCAAACTTTACTGACTCTTTAAACAGTGGACAGTGTTCCCAATAAACAACACTTGCCACACATGCACTGTGGTGAACTATTAATAATGCATCGGGCTATTATGTGGATGCTGGGTTTGTCTACTGTCAGCAACTTAGAATTCACATGGAAGTGGCCGACAGGGTTGTCTGTATCTGCACAGGTCAAAGTAATGAAGAGTTAAGCAGCGGGACATGCCCCAACACCCAGACTAAACAGAAACCTAAATTTGCTCTTCTACTCTTCAAGGAGTGGGAAATCCAGTGTGAGTGCGTAGGCAAGCTGGTGAATCACTGCTGTGTGGCAAAGACAACAGAGACAGAGAAAAAACAAGGAGACAACCAGAGACTCTGGAAGGCCAAACTGGGCCTTTCTCCACAGCAGATAAGCGTTTCCAACTAAAGTGGACTGGTTGGTGAACATCAACTACAACATAACACGGAGAACAGATGTGCATCTTACCTGGCCGGTCGAGTTTTCAATGACTTGCACCAGTGGGATCCTGGTTGACATGTTTGAAAGACGTGAAGTTGCCAAAAAAAAAAGGGGGGAAAGCAACAGTGAAACAACGATTCTTCAGTGTCTACTGTGCATTTAAAACCTGTGTAGTTTATGGCAGAGGGGACTTTCCGACAGATGTCCAGTGCTAGCAGCTAGCAGCAGCACAGACAGACACAGACAGCCCGTGAATCAACAAGTTGAATCTCACATCAGCGGAGTCAGCCAGCTAGCCACGAACTAGCTAGCAGCAATCGCACGTCCCATGTTTGTCAACAAGCACAAAACAGGAAACAGCGAAACGTCTCGTTGAGCTTCGGGCCTCGGTGTGAACACAGTCAGTCCCCAGTATTGACGAGCGTCGACGGAGAGCCGAGAGCTAGCTCCTCGGGCTAGCTGGAAGAAAAGTTACTGAGGTTCAATCAGGGGGGCTAGCGTGCTAACCTGTGGGGTCGCTGACTAACTTAACGCAGGAGCGGAGAAAGACCCGACTGTCGCCAAAATCTACTACAAATGTGTGTCCGGCGTTGTTTTCATAACGCGGGGTCGACGCCTGTTTCTTGTCTCTTCGTGGCGGAGATGTTTCCTCTGGCTGTGAAACCAGCTGCGGGCTCCACAAACTTTCAGGCCAAAGTTATTCCCGGCGAGATCTCGACCTTCCCAACTCTCACAAAACAACTCAAAATGCTCCCAGTGAGATATCCAGGGTTAGGGTATCCGACAGACGGTCACATGGCAGGCGAGAAACACGAAGTAATGTGCGGCGCTGGGCTAACAGGCTCTCCAGTATTAGCCCATGTAGCTCAGAGCTAATTCACAGTTTCTCCCGAAGCAGAGCTAGTTAGTTAGCTTATCGTCCTGCGGCCGCGGCGGTGACACAGAGAGAGAGAGAGGGGGAGAG